ATAAAAAATATTTTAAAAAATACAGTTATTTGTTTTTAAACATATCCTTATTAATCATTTAATGTTAAACAACAATCGCTAACTATTGTATAGCTAAACAATTATATTTATTGAATCCGCTATTTATCATCCGTTATTCACTTTCCGCTATCCGCCATCTGCTATCCGCTATCCACTAACCGCCACCCATTACCTGCTACCTGCTACCACTATCCGCTATCCGCTATCCGCTATCTGCTACCTGCTATCCGCTATCTGCTACCTGCTATCCGCTATCTGCTACCTGCTATCCGCTATCTGCTACCTGCTATCCGCTATCCACTGAATTTTAACCGCTGTACCACACAGGCCCATAATCACATGTCTTCAACTATTGCTTATTTTTCTTCAATGCACCAAATAATTCCTTTTCTGACTTTATTCTGCTGATGGCTCCTCTATGAATGTTAGTCACATCGGTAATATTTCTACAAATTTTTTGACTTTACCAAACGCTTTCTTGGTTCCAAAACTTAGTTATAATCTTTTATCTATTGGTCAGTTATGTGATCTTAGTCTTAAAATAACTTTTTTTACTCATAGTTGTCATGTGCAAGACCCATAAATGAGACAACTTCTTGGAACTGATCGTAAGGTGGGGTGTCTATTTGAGCTTAATTATCTGCATATACCTGATCAGAAAATGGATATACCATCATTTTCAAATGATCAATTCATCCAAACCCTACTTTGTATTGCTAAATTAGAGTCTTTGAAAATTCCATATCGACAAATCTTCCAAGCCTATGTTGCTATTAATTTTTCTCCTCTTCATTTATGGCACTCACGGCTCAAACACACTTCAGTTGGTAAACTCCATCATTTTATCTCTCATGGTTTATTAGGATCTATTCCAAATGAATCCTTGCGTTGTGTGTCATCTCAATATGCAAAACAACCAGCTTTATCGTTTACTAGTAGTGATTCTCTTTCTGTTGCTTTTTTTGATCTCATGCATTCTAATATTTAGGGTCCATCTTTGACACCTACCATGGGAGGTTCCAGGTATTTTGTGTTATTTATTGATGATCATACTCGTTTTACCTAGATATATCTTATGAAAAATCGCTTTGAGTTGCCACAAATTTATATTGATTTTACTATCATGGTCAAAACCCAGTTCTCTAAAATTATCAAAGTTTTGAGAACTGACAATGCCACAAAATATCTTAGTACTAACTTCAATATTTTTTGAAAGAACAAGGTACACTGGCACAACAACCTTATCCTTACACTTCTAAACAAAATGGGCAAGCCAAACGTAAACATAGACACATCCTTAATTCTGTTCGTGCTTTGCTCATTTCGTCTTCTTGTCCAGAGCGATTTTGGGGTGAAGCTACTTTTACAGCTGTTTATGTCATTAATCCGATTCCATCATCAGTCATCAATAATAAGTCTCCATACGAATGTTTGCATAATATTTCTTCTCCCTATGATCTTAAGGTTTTTGGTTCTGCTTGTTTTGTTCTTCTTCCACCTCATGAACATAATAAGTTAGAGCTTAAAGCTCAATTATGTTGTTTTTTGGGTTATGGGATTACACATAAAGGATATCGTTGTTGGGATCCTATTGCACAAAAACTTTGAGTCTCACGTCATGTTGTCTTTTGGGAACACACTATGTTTTCCTCATTATCAAACTTCCAGGAGTTATCTTTTGATCAACTTCCACTTTTTACTAACCTTTCTATTGAGCTATTTCCTAATAATTCTAATGCAGATACATTTGATGAGCTCCATGATGCTTATCCACATGCTTCACTTGGTTCTATAGAAGATGTTCTACAAGTTGGTAATGTATTAGACAATGCTGAGTCTTCCTCCCTTACCTCTTATGTATCACCTATTGGATCTAACCCTGTTGATCTTAGGCCTGAAAATGAGATTCTTAATCCACCTTCAAGTCATCCTACTCAGGTAAGAAATCCACCTAACTATCTTCATAATTATCATTGCTTTCTTGCTATTACCTCCTTACATGAATCTTAATCTTACCAAGAGGCCTCTTTTAACCCTCTTTGGCAGCAAGCTATGTAAGATGAATTACAAGCTCTTGACAAAACTTGTACATGGGATTGAGTTGATTTTCTTGCTAGAAAGCCTCTAGTAGGTTGTAAATGGGTATACAAGATCAAAACTCGATTTGATGGTTTCGTGGGGCATTACAAGGCTCGTTTGGTTGCTAAAGGATTTACTTAGGAATATGGGATTGATTATGAGGAAACCTTTGCACCTGTTGCTCATCCTACTTTAGTTCGTAGTTTGATTGCTATTGCTGCTGCAAAAAGATGGAAAATGTTTCAGATGGATGTGAAAAATGCCTTTCTAAATGGTGATCTTGTAGAAGAAGTTTACATGAAACCACCTCTTGGACTTAAGCTTCCTCCAAACAAAGTTTGCTAATTGAAGTGAGCTTTGTATGGTTTGAAACAAGCACCTCGAGTGTGGTTTGCGAAGTTTAGTACCACCATTAGTGAATTTGGTTTTACTTTTAGTGTTGTACCTATGATTTTGATGATTACAAAACACATTTGAGTGACTAATTGGTTTATGTAAGTGTGTAGTTAAGTTGCTAAAAGATTGCAAGTAATACTTGGATTGCACTAAAAATAGACCAAAAGGATTCAAAATGTGTAGAGAGCCGGCTCTTAAAAGCTGCAGCCTGCTTTGGTGAAATGGAAGTGCAGAGAGCCGGCTCTACGGGCAAAAATTTCAAGACCGTTGCTTGGCGCGTGCGGAGAAAAGATGCAAAGCCGGCTCCAACTTTATAGTCGACTGTGAGGGTGCATTTAATGCACAATGGTCGATTCTTTTGAATGTATTTAAAATCGGAATTCCAAAGCCGGCTCAAAGTCTTGCAGTCGGCTCTCGAGGAAAACATAATGGCCTGCAAACCCGGTTAGCTGGCTCTGGAAGTGTAAGCCGGCTGTGTAGAACCGGCTCTAGGAAATTAAGCTGGCTCTCCTGACAGTTCTGCAACTCGAGCCATGTGTCCTGCAGAGCATTTAATGACCCCCAACGGCTAGAAACGGCTATATTCGAGCAAGGGGCTATAAATATGATTGGTAACAGATATGAAGAAGTTAGGAGGATATTACATTGCATATCTTTACCTACCTACTTGAGCTTAAACTTGAGTTTTTGATCTTTGAGTGATCATTGCTTGTAATCCTCTTCTTGTGGTATTAGTGAGTGATCTTGGGGGTGTGTTGATTCTTTCAAGAGTGATTTGTGGGGTTTACATTGTAAAGGGGTGAGGTTTGAGAGAAATACTTATCTTGTTGTAAAAGGATTGAGTAGCTCCTTTAAGCCACCCTTGTTTTTCTTAGTGAAGAGTGTGGAGGAAATCCTTGGTGAGTGAAGCCAAGGCAGAAGACTAGGCTCCAAGTGGTTGGATCGAACCTCTATAAATTCATTGTGCAAGCTCTTCTTCTCTACTCTCTTTAATTAGGGTTTTGTGGTTGAAAAAGGGGAGAATTTTTGGAACTCCAATTCACCCCCCTCTTGGAGTACATTGAGCAACAATTGGTATCAAAGCAAGGGCTCTAATTTGAAGGTTTAACCACCTAGGAGTTGATTGGGAATGGCTCAATTTCTATCTTCTCAACCACTTGAAGGTTTGTCTACCACTAAGCCTCCTCTCTTTGATGGTACTAATTATAATTATTGGAAGAATAGGATGAAGGTCTTCATGCTTGCAAATGTGCCCAAGGCATGGGTTGTGACTATGAAAGGTCCATATGTACCCATGAAAATTGTTGGAGAAAGGGAGGTGCCAAAGGAAGAGATAGATTGGAATGATGAAGACTTGGAGAAGATCATGATCAACAACAAAGCAATCAACATGCTTCAATGTGCTCTCAATCCAATGGAATTCCATAGAGTTTCCGGGTGTGATACGGCTAAGGAGATGTGGGACATGCTAAAAGTCACTCATGAAGGAACAAGCCAAGTAAAGGAGTCAAAAATCAATAGACTCATTTAAATGTATGAGCTTTTCAAGATGAAACTGGAGGAGAGCATTCAAGATATGTATACAAGATTGAATGACATAGTCACCAATCTCAAGGCTCTTGGTAAAGTCTCTCCTCCTCAAGAAGTGGTGAGAAAGGTTCTTAGAAGCTTGCCTTAGAGTTGGGATGCCAAGAAGATGGCAATTGAAGAATTTAAGGATCTCAACACTCTCAGGCTTGAAGATCTCATTGGTAAATTGATGACATATGAGATAGAAGTGCAAGGTGATGGTGGAGTTGAAGTAGTTGAGAAGAAGAAGAAGAATGTTGCTTTCAAGGCTAGCAACCAAAAGAAAGAGAGTGAAGATGATGCTAGTAATGATGAGTCTAGCAATGAGGAGGACATCACCAAATTGATTTCAAAGGAAGTGAAGAGATTCATGAAGAAGAACATCAAGAGCAAGCTTGCAAGAAGAGATAAAGGAGAATCCACCAAAAAGAGTGTGAAATGCTATGAGTGCAACAAGATGGGGCACTATAGAAATGAATGCCCCAAATTGAAGAAAGGTGAGAAGAAAGACAAGAAGAAGAAGAAAGCATTTGTCGCCACTTGGAGCGATGATGAAACTAGCTCAACAGAAAGTGAAAGCTCCTTGGAGAAAGGTTTTGCAAATCTTTGCTTCATGGCTCAAGAGGATGACAACAATGATGAGGTAAACTCTAACTTTTCTAGTTCAATTAATGAAAGTTCCTTTGAGTATTCTTATGATGATTTATGCAAAGTTCTTGATTGCTCTATAAATGACATTAAGAAACTAGGAAATGATAATATTGCTCTTACTAAAACCATTTCATTGCTTAGGACTGAGATTGAATCTCTCTCAAAACAAAATGAGGTTTTAGTTAAAGAGAATGCCTCTTTAAATGGTGAGATTGCTTCTTTAAAGAATGAGGAGTCTAATAATGCTTTGAAAAAGGAAAATGGGGATTTAAAGAAAGGAAATGAAGATTTAAAGAAGGAAAATGAGGTTTTAAAGAGAAAAGCTTGTGATCTTGAAAATGTGATTTCCAAATTTACCTTAAGTAAAGAAAAATTTGATTCTATCTTAAAATCTCAAAGAAGTGTTTATGACAAAGGGGGCATTGGATTTGATAATTCTAAAAAGCAAAAGACTTTTAAGACTACCTTTGTAAGAGCAAGTCAATCATATCATCCTAGTGTTACTTGCTATTGTTGTGGTGTAAATGGACACTTTGCGTATGCTTGTCCTTTAAAAAGATTAATAGCTCAAGGTAAAGTGAAACAAATTTGGGTTCCAAAAGGAACCATAAAAACTAACCCCCATCGACCCAAGCAAACTTGGGTACCAAAAATCAAAACTTAATTTTGTTTTGTAGGAAAAGTTGATGGCAAAGTCATAAGGAAAGCAAAGTAGATCTTAAAAAGGACTTATGCCTCAACAAGAATGTTGGAGTGGAAGTGCAAAGGAAATTTGTTTTTGAATGCTCTACTCATGTGCTCAAATTGGTATTATTTATTTTATTGCATTTATTCATTGAGTATAATTACTTCAATTTGTTTATATGTGTTCACTCTTTGATCTATATGGTTGTTGAATATGATATCATTTGATGTGATTATTAAAATTTATGCAAATTAATGAGCTTGGCATGTTGGATCCTAGTGCTTGATATGATTCTTGAAATTAATGAATTTGATTATAGAAATTGTGTATATTGATGCTTTGATTTGTGTACCTTGATTATATTCATGATATTTGATGATGTATTCATTGATATATGACTAAAGTTGCATTATTTAGTTGTGGATGTCCAATTTAAACTTAGTTAAATGAAGAGATATCAAATTAAGGTGCATTCCCTTCAAAACAGCCCCAAACTTTCTGTTTGTCCTAATCAAGGCCAATAGAGTCGGCTCATCCCTTTTCACAGTCAACTCAACCAAAAACTCGAGAGTATTCTCTCTCTACAGCATAGCCGGCTCTAGCTTCACAGCCGGCTCAACCCAAAAAACAGAGAGTCTTCTCTCTCTAAACCACAGCCGGCTTTAGGTTCACCAGCCGACTCAACTGCAAGCGACCCGACCCGGACCCGCTTTACAGCCGGCTCTGTAATTATAACTGGCTCTCCTACAGAATTTTTAAAGCCTCGGGTTTCTCTCTCCTCGCACAAACCAACCCAGATCTGTTTCAAACCAATGACCTCTCCTCTCCCAAAACTCGCCATTCACTCTCTCAATCATCAAAATCCCTCCAAATCTCCAAAGCCCATCCCTTAAACACTCAAATACCTTCAAATCCTTGCCTACCCAACACAAAACCTCAAGCTTTTCACTTCAATTTGTGTGGGATCTGCTGTATTTTTGGTGTAGCTGGTATTTTTGTTGGGATTTCTCTCTCATGGCTTCAAGAAGGGCTGGGAGTAAAAGGAAACAAGTGGGTAGTTCTAGCACCGGTGGTCAAGCTCAAGAAGAAGAAGGTAACATCTCCCAATCAAATCTCTTTTTGGATACCCAAGCCTCTGCAAAGTATGAAAGTATCAAGAATATGGCTATTTTATCTTGCAATTGTGTAAAATTCAGTCAATTTCCTTAAGGAGATATGCGTGTTGAACAAATTTTTAGGAAACTTGGGTGGAAGGATTATGTAGAAGTTAAAGAGCATGTGTATTATGAAGTTGTTCATCAATTTTATGCTAATTTGAAACCAAGAGGGAATAAATGCAAAACTATGGTTGCTGGGGTGTCATTTTAGTTTTCTCCAAAGGATATTTGTGCTGTATTAAATATACCTGAAGAAGGAGATGATGAGTTTCTAGATGTGAATCATGCCTTAGTTAGAGCCACAATTGCCCCCAATTACACTGAAAATCAAATTAAAGTGGGGTTTCTTACACCAGAGAATAGAGCATTGCAGTGGATTATATCTCGCATTATTGCTCAGAGGAAGGGTTCTAAATCTTATGTTCTTGCCAGTGATCTTCCCTGGTTCGATTATCTTCTTAACGGAAAAAGGGTGAACCTAGGAAGATACATTTTCCGGAGCATAATCAAGCCTTACTCACCAACTACGGGACTTCCTCATGGTGCTCTAATTACTAGATTGGCGAAGAGGAACAACATTGATCTTACATCCTTTAGGTTCGGAACGGTTCTTGGTGGGACTACACTTACCAAAGCTTCTTTTGAGAAAATGGACTGTTTGTTTAGAAATGGAATTTGGATAAAGAAAGGGGAACGAGAAGGGGATGAAGAAGAAGGTGATACAGATCAAGAAATGGCAGAACAAGGGGCAGAAGAACATGAAGATGATAGCCCAAGACCATTTCGAGCCTCCATGCAAAGAATTAACCGTGAAACCATGGAGTTAATGATATCTGAGATGCAGCAGCTGCACATCGACTGCTATGGTTTCCGGACAGAAATGAGAGGGAGAATGACTAACGTGGAAGGAAAGCTTGATCGGCTTGTTAACCATTTTTTTCCTCCACCCCCACCTGATGCCACCTAACTTGATATTTCTTTAGTTTGGCTAATCTTTAGGATGGACATCTTAGGGTTATGCATTTTATGTTTTATTTGACTATGGATATGTCTTGAACCTTTTTATCTTGTTTTATGAATGGAAATGGCATCACTTGTGTTATCATGTTTTGTGAATGGTTGTTTATGATTTTGATGATAATATGCTCTTATTGAGGGGGAGTTTATTAATTGATGAGTGTATTCATAACTTTGGTTGTCTATGGTGCTATATTGATGATTATATTCATATTCTTGATGCTTTAAAGGTTGATAGCATGAATTAAGGGGGAGTTTATTGCTAATGTTTATGTGCTTTTTGATGACTGACAAAAAGGGGGAGAAGAATATGTTGAATTTAATGTCATTTTCTAGAGTACCTTGTGCTGAAATTCTGGTTAATATTGAAGTATATATGTGCTTTCGTTAATTAATTCTCAAAGTGTTTTGTCATCATCAAAAAGGGGGAGATTGTTGTACCTATGATTTTGATGATTACAAAACACATTTGAGTGACTAATTGGTTTATTTAAGTGTGTAGTTAAGTTGCTAAAAGATTGCAAGTAATACTTGGATTGCACTAAAAATAGACCAAAGGGATTCAAAATGTGCAGAGAGCCGGCTCTTAAAAGCTACAACCGGCTCTGGTGAAATGGAAGTGCAGAGAGCCGGCTCTACAGGCGAAAATTTCAAGACCGTTGCTTGGCGCGCGCGGAGAAAAGACGCAAAGGCAGCTCCAACTTTATAGCCGACTGTGAGGGTGCATTTAATGCACAACGGTCAACTCTTTTGAATGTATTTAAAATCAGAATTCTAAAGCCGGCTCAAAGTCTTGCAGCTGGCTCTCAAAGAAAACAGAATGGCCTGCAAACCCGGATAGTCGGCTTTGGAAGTGTAAGCCAGCTGTGCAAAGCCGGCTGTAGGAAGTTAAGCCAGCTCTCCTGACAGTTCTACAACTCGAGCCATGAGTCCTGCAGAGCATTTAATGACCCCCAACGGCTAGAAACGGCTATATTCGAGCAAGGGGCTATAAATATGATTGGTAACATATATGAAGAAGTTAGGAGAATATTACATTGCATATCTTTACCTACCTACTTGAGCTTAAACTTGAGTTTTTGATCTTTGAGTGATCATTGCTTGTAATCCTCTTCTTGTGGTATTAGTGAGTGATCTTGGGGGTGTGTTGATTCCTTCAAGAGTGATCTATTGAGAGGATTTGTGGGGTTTACATTGTAAAGGGGTGAGGTTTGAGAGAAATACTCATCTTGTTGTAAAAGGATTAAGTGGCTCCTTTAAGCCACCCTTGTTTTTCTTAGTGAAGAGTGTGGAGGAAATCCTTGGTGAGTGAAGCCAAGGTAGAGGACTAGGCTCCAAGTGGTTGGACCGAACCTCTATAAATTCATTGTGCAAGCTCTTCTTCTCTACTCTCTTTAATTAGGGTTTTGTGGTTGAAAAAAGGGAGAATTTTTGGAACTCCAATTCACCCCCCTCTTGGAGTACATTGAGTCAACATTTAGTCCTCGTGATACTGCACTATTCATACACAAGACTAATCATGGTGTGGTTCTACTACTTCTTTATGTTAATGATATGATCATTACTGGGGATGATATTTCAGGTATTCATGATCTTAAGCAATTTCTTAGGTTTGAGATGAAAGATCTTGGTGTTTTTAGCTATTTCTTGGGACTTGAGGTCACCTCTTCTAATGATGGTTATCTTCTTGCCCAAACAAAATATGCTTTTGATCTTATATCTAAAGCTGGACTCATTGATAGTAAGACTGCATCTACTCCTCTTGAGCCCAATGTTTGACTCACATCCTTGGATGGTTCTCCATTACCTGATCCTACTCACTACAGATAGTTGGTTGGAAGTTTGATTTATCTCACTACAACACGATTAGACATAGCTTATACAGTTCATGTTGTTAGCTGGTTTATGGCTACGCCTTGCTCCACTCACTATGGAATAGTACTTTGCATTATTCAATATATTAAAGGCACCATGCTTCATGGACTTCACTTTTCTACTCATTCATCTCTTGAACTTCATACTTACTCTAACACTAATTGGGCTGGAGACTCTAATGATCGTAAATCCACCACTGGATGTTGTCTTTCTCTTGGTGTAGCAAGAAACAAACAGTTCCATCATGTTCTAGCACAGAGGCTGAATATCGAGCACTTAGAGATGCGACATTAGAGTTACTTAATTTACGTTGGCTACTAAAAGATATGGGTGATTCTCAACCGCTTGTTACTTATCTTTATTGTGACAATCAGAGTGCCATACAAATTGCTCATAATGATGTCTTCCATGAATGCACTAAACACATTGAGGTTGACTATCACTTTGTTTGCCATCATGTTGCATAAGGAACTGTTCATTTGGTTTTTATTGGCTCCGTTGATCAACTAGCAGACCTTTTCACTAAGGCTTATTTTCTTGGACATTTTCGTACTCTTCTTTCCAAACTCAAGTTGGTTTCATCACAACCACCTTGGGTTTGAGGGGGAATATTAAGACGTGAACACAATAATTTAGATTATATTCACACTTATCATAAATATTTTATATCTTATAATATTCTCTTTATATACTTTATACCTTAGAATATTCTTTTTGTAAACACCTATATATAAGTCATTGTACATACAGTCTTATTCAAGAAAGTAATAAATTTTTTCTTCAAATATTTCTCTTTCTTTTTTGATTTCTAACACTAATTTTTTAAACTTATTTTAACTTTGTAAATATAAGAGATATGAAGCCATAAAAACCAAAAAAATACTTATATATTTAATTTTCTCATAATTCCTCCTAAAAGAATGGATAAAATTAATAAAAATATTTGAAATTAAGCACAACAATAATTGTCCTTTATTAATCCATTTGAAATGTTATCATCTCATGTGCAAAGATTCAATACACACCGCAAGTTCATATTAAGCGATGGAGTAAACTAGAAACAAGGATCAAATTAATGTGAAAAAGGAATATGATTTAGGGATAAGTTTTTCATACTATCTTTTTGTATAACGTTATTTGTCATTTAAATAATTGGCTCTTTTATTCATTTGAAATTCAAGATATTAAATATACATACTTATTTAATAATATATAAAAATTATTTAAAAAAATTATCCATATATGACTATATCACTACCAATGTGAAAAATACAACACTACAAACCGTAGTCAAAGACTCAAAGTGATCATAAATGAATTGGGCCAATTGGCCCAGACTCAATGTTAAGGCATAGAACCCAACAGCT